AATTTCAATGTGCTAATACAACTTGTTTACCATTTATTAATTTTATCGCAATAACTATTCTCAATTGTCAAACAGGTTGTTTAGCTGTAATTCAATGTGCAGCAGCAAGTTTTCATCGATCAACGTCTAATTGTGAATTATTTACTGATATGTCAAATGAAATTGCACATATGCAGGCTGATACCGACATTACTACTATGATTGTTATTGCTGGAACACGATCTCCACCCGGTTAGTATGAATATAGTAGATTTTGAAAGAAAAAAAACATTCTCCTCTTCGATAAGCTTTATTCATAATTAGCTTGTTGATCAGGAATATGTATAGAGATGAACTATGTAATTGTTCACTTTTTTTTATCGTCTTTGCCGCATCGGAAACATCGAATATAAACAATAAAACAGAAAAATAATGCACACATTCATACCAATTGATATAGAAGTAATAAATTAAGTAGAGCTCCATTCAAAGTTAAGAAAAAGAAGAAAACAAACCTTTTTTTTGCTCATTCATTACTTATAATAAATAATAAATGATGAATGTTAAAGAAAAGTTTTCTTTTTTTCTTTTCTTAACTTTACAGTGAAATCTTCGTCATTTTGCAAATTAATAAGAAATCATGAGTGGATCAGAAAAATGTTTGATTGCATCACAGATGGAACCGGAACCGGTACCGGTACCGGTAACTCTACCGAAAAATACCGGTCTACCGGTTTCTTACCAATCTATTCTCTATTAAAAACTTATTTTTTCCAAAAAAATATTTTTTGATCCAAAATTTATCTGTAGCCCCCTAGGGAGATAAAATATGAACGCTATCACGAGTCAAACCGAGTTAACGACTTTTGCACTACTCATTTTTGCCGGTCTACCGGTTTCATATCTGCCAATGCCATTTTTGTAAACTAGAACCGACTACGACAGCATCAACAACAACATCGTCATCCACATCATCGTCAACAACAAGAACGTCATCAACATCAACTACAACAAGCACATCAACACCAACAACAACAACAACCACCAGCACCACAACAACCACAACAACAATAACCACGACAACCACCACAACAACCACCACAACAACAACCACTACTACAACCACAACAACCATTACAACAACAACAATAACAACAACCACAACCACTACAACCACTACAACCACAACTACAACCACAACAACTGGTAAATGTTATATTTTTACTACTTTGTAATACTTTTTTATCAATACTTACGCGGAGTAAGATTTGATTAGATTAGCTCAATAGTTATCCTGATACGGCTTTTTGTCTCGCCTAACTCTGTAAGATACATAGTTGAAAACGGGTGTGATGTTAAATGTCGAAAGAGAAAATGTCGAAAAAAAAGAAAGAAAATATCGAAAAGGAAAAAGTGTATAGTATAAAGACCGAAAAGACTGACGTCGAATAGAATAGATGATCAGTAGAAAAAAGTAGAAAGGAAAACGCAGGTAGACAAAATATCGAATAAGAAGTTTTTAATTTTTATGTTAATATGACACGATGGATGCGGTGGGTGTAAATGTGGATGTAGAGACAGTCTGAGCACTTGTTCAAGAAAGAGGTCCTCACGTTCACACCTCCCCCACACTCACACTCATACTCACACCCACACCCTCACATCCACACCTAAAACTCAGTGGTATGATCATGTCAGTCAGCTTATGTTCAATCGAATACGAATCTTAAAGGTCGAATAAAATGCGAGAGTTAAATAGTGTGTATACGTCAATACAGATTATGAAAGCAAATGTTTTTTGTGTTTATTAGCATGCAACTATTTTCTCAATCAAACTACTTACTCAGTTGTTACTCGACCATATTCAGTAGCAGTCGTAGATGTTAATAGCGACAGTAAACCTGATATTATTGTTGCAAACTATGGTTCGAACAACGTAGGTGTTCTTCTCAATGCAGGCAGTGGCACATTCGCTACTCAAACTACTTATACAGTTGGTACTAATCCAATATGGATAGCAGTCGTAGATGTCAATAGCGACAGTAAACCTGATATTATTGTTGCAAACTCTGCTTCGAACAGTGTCAGTGTTCTTCTCAATGCAGGCAGTGGCACTTTTAGTGCTCAAACTACTTATCCAGTTGGCACTCTTCCAATTAGGCTAGTAGTCGTTGATGTAAATAGCGACAATAAACCCGACATTGTTGTTGCAAACCAGATTTCGAACACTGTCGGTGTTCTTCTCAACGCAGGCAGT